CCTGTAATTGTGGAATTCCTAGGGCAGCCACAGGACGTCTGCACCTACAGAGGGATCATGGGTGGCTTGGGCTACACCAATAACAGCTACATCCACACACCCCCTATCCAGTGTAAACCCGAAACAGACATGTAGATTGGTCCACGTTTCATCAATGAAGCCGGCCCACACTCCTTCACAGGCAAACAAGCACGCTGTATTTGGGGAACCAAGTGCACACAAGACGGTGGCTGGACGGTAGTGCGCTCCACACTGAGTGCATAGAATCGCTCTTCGAACCTAGCACCGTCACGAGGACCGTGCATCCCGTCCTCTCTAGCAAAGACCAAGTGCCTCCTGGAGCCAGTTTGGACGAGATAGTGGGTAATAGATAGGTAGACATCTTGTTAACATGCATCTCAAGCGCACACAAACCGCGGATGTCAAAAAACAATTAATCACTTGAAATGACAATATAAAAAATAGGTAGAAAACACCACACGGATACGCCCACAACTCTTAGCTAAATTAACATTTGAAATAAATGACTTATCAACAAATCCGCGATAAATTCAAGACGGAAGAACAAGAGCTCAAGAAAACATATGCAACAAAGGAGAAAATATAAACGAGGTTAACCACCTTTCGTTTAAGCAATATGTGCATGTTAACTAAAAATTATCAGATAGACTCTAAAATGAGATAAAACAAAAAATAAAAATAAAAAATAAGCATTTGACAACCCGTCTTCTTACTGCGCTTTGTAAATTACTAAAGGGAACTAACTGTTTCAAATTTCCGAAAAGACGAATTCCCGCTGAAAGAGTCAAGCCACTTCGCCGCAATGTCAACCTGCAATGTAAGATTGCTTGTAAGCGTGTGGAAATATCCTTCCTATCCGAATGTATCCACCAGCGTGGTTATTCTTGATCGATTATGAAGATGTTACGTATAAACAAATTGAGGACCTCTGCAAGTAATCTTATACGGCTTGCATCCGCTCATCTTGAGAGGGCAAAAAACAGACTTGTGGGTTTACTCGAGACACACGACTACTGCCCGTCATCCAAAGCTTGTTCCTCTGTTGTGGTATTGCATTCTCTTGGTTTTGAAAAACCACTGTTGATCCTACAAAAAGGATTGCGTTGGCTCGTTTAGAAAAGTCACTGATGAACAACCAAGAGGAAGTGGCAGTTACTCGTGACCGCGGTAAGTATGTGGTGAATATGTCGGATTTGAAGCTTAATGCCTTACATTTGAAAGCATTATCATTTGGCATAGACTACAAAGTTCCTCCTAGACATTTAAATGTGCTTCTTATTGAATTGCAGTTTGAAAACTTCTTTGATCAGGTGAAAGATCTACAACCAGCCAATGCTGCTAAGCCCATATGGTTTAGAAACAAGCTGACAGATATTGCTTGAGGTTAAACATGTGCCAGTAAAAGCAAAGTGTGTGCTTACAAAACAGCATTTACAGGCGGTACTCAAACTGCATGCCGAGGATGTGATTGTAACAATACCAGATAAGGGTTCCGGTGTAGTACTCATGAGTAAGGCAGAGCTTAGCAACGAGCTCATCGACTACCTCGACATACTTAATGTATCCGACAAGCTCATGTGCTCGTTAGATGTGGAATGGCTGTTTACCAATTTTCCCCTGCACCAAACAGTTGATTACATTTGTGAACTAGCATAAAGTTTGCAGTGTCCTCTACCGATGCCAGTTGAGCTACTAAGAGATTCGTCGCTTTTGTGTACGGAGAATGTCAACTTTCACTTCAGAAACACACCGTACTGTCAGACTGATGGAGTAGCAATGAACAGTCCATTGGGGCCGGTACTTGCTGTGTTCTTTATGTTATTGGTGGAGCGAGGTATGTCTGGAGAAATATCTCGACTACCATACTACAAACACCACGTGGATGATACTTTTGCAATTTGTTCATCGGAGCATCAGATAAAGCAGTTGGTAACGCAACTAAATTCTGCGCCTTATAAGTTGCGGGTCTCCCGTGAGGTAGAGAAGCAAAATTGCCTCCCGTACTTGGATATCCTCATCAGCCGCAGAGAAAACGAGCAGATTAAGAGGTCTGTCTACAGGAAATCAACATGGTCCGGGCAGTATCTGCATTTCACTAGCTTCACACCAATGCGATACAAGCGGACACTCGTAAGAACCCTGATTAGCCGTGCCAGACGAATCTGCTCCGCTGATTGCCTGGCTGACGAACTACCGTTGATTACCAACACGCTCGTTGAAAACGGCTACCCCCGAAGGTTCATCCATCGATAAACATAGTCAAGTGCGACCAACGGACCTAGTTCACACGGTACCCAAGAAGCCTGTAATAATTGAACTGCCATGCAAAGGTGACGTCTCCTCATTGAGGACCACAAGGCGTCTGATCTGTGCCATGCAGACAGTTTACTATGTCGCCAAGGTGGCTGTCATTAACAAAACCCAAAAACTGTCACTTCCTTCTGTAAAGGAGGCTCAGTCTATCGCTGCCAAATCGCATTGCGTTTACCAATCCATTTGTGACTGCGGTGCCAGTTACATAGACAGGGCCGATAGAACATTGAGTTCCCGAATGAAGGAGCATGTACTTAAACGGGTTCAAATTTCGACCGCGCAGGAAACTGGCCGGAGTCAAGTTGCTTGTCTGTGTAAGCCACCAGCCTCTTCGATCGGTCGGCACTTATTGACCACAGGTCACCGAGTCGAGGTCACTTTGGCGTTCACAATCCTATTACGGCATACCAATTCTTGCCTCCTCCGTTTCGCAGAGGCGAATGCAATTAACCGGATTAAGCCACTGCTTTGTGTTCAAAAACAATTATCGATCAGCCTTAGACTGCCCTGGAGATAGGGGTGATAACCCTGTTTTGCTTATCGTGTGTTGGTCTGTTTGTCTGTTTGCATGTATGTTTGGTCTCACCCTTCACTGAATAAATATTATTGCGAGTTATTGTTAAAGGCACTGATGAGGCAATACGAAATGCGTGCATTTGTCAGTCTTCGGCTTCTTACTGCGCTTTTCAAATTACTAAAGGGAACTAACTGTTTCAAATTAAACCTTGACGAAATGGCTTTGTAATCACCTGAAATAAATAATTTCAGCACCTTAGCACCCGGTTATTAAATCGAATGGAGGTGTATGCAGCGTACCTACCAACGCTGCGCCGGTTCTGTTTACGTTCTCACTAGCACTCCTTGACGGTTCGATGCTCATTAGACCGCTCGGACTCAAGAACTCGTTGCCGCATGTGCTACAGCACCATGCGCTCGAGGTCGACGGAGCACACTCCATGACTGAGCCACATCAGGTGTCTCAGCAAAAGTATGCAATCCAATGCATACATTCCACTTCGGCGCAACACTTCCTTGTCCACAACCCTGTCGCACCAAACAACGTGCAGCATCCGTCGCAGAAAGTATTGAGGATAGTGCTCGATATCTCACGTCTCGCCAGTACATGGTCCCGGTTTCGCTGTCGAATAGAACAGTCTGTGCCGTGGATTTGTGCAGCATCAGCTTCGTGCCGACCGTAAGCTAGTGATCGTTCCATACTCGGCACTCAAGGTTCCCGAATGCCGCCACTGCCTTCGATACGCGGATACGAAGCTCACTGTATATATGCTGGTCAGTCGAAACCACACTCCCAAGGTAGCAGAAGCAAGAGGTAGTTTCCAATACTTCAGCACCAATGCTGACTCGCGGTATCATGGTAGATTACACCTCCGGTGAATGATGAAAGAGACAAACAGTTTTGCTTGTGTTGATGGTGAGCCCGAACTTGGACGCTGTCAAAGCCAGAGCACTAATCATGTGCTGCAACTCATCCGCGCCCTGTGAAAACAACGCCCATTCGTCAGCGAACAACAACATGCGGATAGTTGTCTCACAGACTAGAGTTCTCGCACCGAAACGTCGGATGTGCTGCAACCCACCAAAAATATGATGCTCCACACGGACACCGTAAGCACAAGCAGCATCAAACGCGCACGACATCATGGCAAGAAGAGAAATAGTAAACTGGACTGAAGCTAAGACACAGCCTTGCTGCAAACCAGAGTCGACTGCAAAGTCTTTCGAGGTCTGTCCATTCAGTTGCGTTCTCACTCGCATACCATTGTGCGCACATTCAGTTTAACTTACTAACTTATTCGGACAACCAAAATGATCCAACAACAACCGCAAAGCCTCGCGGTTCACCGTATCAAATGCCTTGGGGAAATCAACAAAAAGCAAATACAATGGCTGGTGTTGTTCTCTGCACTCCCGCAACTGACGAGCCGCAAACACCATATCTATAGTGCTGCGACCCGAACGGAATCCACACTGCTCTTCCGCCACGTTAGGTTCCACAATCTGACTCACGAGGCGGTTGATTAAGATTCGGACGTTCACTTTACACACATAACTCAGCAAGTTGATGACGCGATAATTCATGGCACATCGCTTGCTTCCTTTGCCCTTATACAGTGGTAGCACAAGGGCATCCTTCAAGTCAGTAGGTGCATCTTCCTCAATCCACATGCGTTATAGCGCATTTGCAGCGTAGTTACCAACGCGGCTCGGCCGTGCCTCGGTATATATATATATATATATATATATATATATATATATATATATATATATATATATAATGAGAGAGGCAGCCTATATAACTACGCCGTAAAGCCTTATCAATACTTCACTGCTGAGCGACTATCTAGAGTTCAAAACAATTTCTCCACAAGCTGGAACAATAATCGCAACGCATCAATTTGTCGTGTGTGCCCCTCATAGCAGCAATGGTGTATCCTTTGGCCATTGAGGTGTCCTTATTTTGATATACCTGACATATCTTGTACAGCTCTATTGCTACTCATACCTTTTTGTGTCACGATTTTTATTCAATTTGCAGTACTGAGTTAAGATTGTGTACTTATCCTTAATCCACCGCTGCCAACCCTCGCAGTGAGTGTGGCAACATAGGTTAACATGTGGTTCAATCATTTCTCGAATCACTGCAGGTTCCGCGTTTACCCGATCCTCCGTACATGTTCAAACTGGGCTATTTTTGGAAGAGTTAACGGAACAGATCGAGCAAGATGACTTTGCCACACAAACGGATTACTTCCTAGATCGCCCACCAACACCGTTGTTTGTACCAGCCAAGACAGGGGTGGATGTTGAAACACAGATTTACGAAAATGACGTAAGTTGGTGGCTTTTAGACTTCAATGCGGACCTCTATCTTTAAACCTTTCGACAATAATTTAGTTTAATGTCGTACCCATTGCTTCTCCCAAGAAGTGTCCCCCTCTGAAGGCCGTATCTCATCTGTCGACTCGTACCTGAGAAAAGTTTGCTCTGAGGTGGCTACTCTGTTGTCTATACTGTAGCATCATGTAATTCGTTGGAGAATTAGCCGCTTCACGTGATCATGTTGGCCATATATATATATATATATATATATATATATATATATATAATAGACACGTAAGCGGAGCTAAAGTTGGGTATCGACTGAGAATTGATCGGCCAGCAATTACCAGTCCGCGTAAAACGAATCGAACTATACCGTCAATATGATAAACCCGGGGAGTGGAACTCACTCACACTGGCTGAAAACCGGACGCACAAAAATGAGCGATCTTGACCTCCTAAATTAGCATGTTTCGGCTACCTATAAATACAGTTAACTGATGGTGTAGATAGACTCCCTGTTTACCGAGCCTTGGTATTCTGTATTCCGTCGGTTGGGTTGGCGCGTGACTGAGAAGTCAGACAGTCGCAGTCTTATAGGGCAGCTAGCAACAGTACAACAGTCCTCAGTGGCAGAGAGCAGAGGTAAAGTAGAAGCGTTACAGCAATATATATATATATATATATATATATATATATATATATTCACAGTCTGTTAACAGACATTGTACCATCAGAACCATGGCAGAAACAAAATTGGAGGTAGGAACACGAACTGCGATTTAAAAATGGGAAACGATATTTTTTGGTTTTACACACGCTATTTTGCATCTTTTGTTCTTGTTTTGTGTTTTTTTGTGTGTATTAAAGGGGGAATATAATGGCAGCACAACATTGACGACACGGATGTCTGTTGCGGGCCATGGCGTCCAATGTTTCCAACTACTGCGATTCGGCATTCCGTGGTCCCCAATCAGCATCCCGTGGCTACCTGTAACCGTTGTGTCCGTAGGCGTAAGTAGCAGCTTGCAGAGTTCGAGACACAGTCTAGTGCGCCTTACCCGACCAAGCGAATGCGCCATATTGATGAAACACAGACAGACATTACCACTGCCCCGCATTATTTCTTGGGTGGCAGTTCTCTGACCGGATCTGTTTACTTGACAGAATTTAGTATTCAACGTACCCCCATAACTATTCACGTAAGTGAACCAACTGTAAAACCCCTGTGGCATGTGTTATACTTATTCTAATCCCTTGCTACTTTTAGCTAAGGACCTGTTTATAGTCAGTAGCAGTAGCTTATTTCCAACGGTTTCATCTACATCTACATTCCCACTGACGAAACAAAAGGTGTGGAGGAACAGGCATCAAGGCGTGACATGTCTCGCGATAATAATTCTTGGCACGTCTACATTGGAATAAACTTTCTCAGCTAGTGGTAAACAGTGCATAGTAAGCGCGTGAATTATGGTCAATAGACGATTCCGTGCCACAGCATTCTTTTCTTACTAGCAAATTGAAAATGTCACATCCCGATAGAGCACTAGCAACCGTACACACTCTCTGGTGCTTTTCTGACCTTATTGACTGATGATATATTCAACATTAATTAAAGCTAGCTTAAAACCCTCTGAAACGATTACACCACAACCAAAACAAAAGTCTAACTTCGACCGGCTACTGAGTAGAAAGAATCCGCACCTGTCGGACAATGACACTGCATGCATCAGTTTCCTACGCCTCTTCAAGCGTGGCATTTGTAAGAAACTACTGATCGGCTTGAGCAGGCATCTCCTTGCTTACTGCATTGTGAGAGGAGCAGGTTCAAAACATATGTCCACCGCGCTCTTTCAACTTGATTCTATGCGAATCGGATGTCGTCGTAAAGCTACGCAGGGCTAGAAATTTCCTTGGATCACGTATATTTGACTACCGCTACCTTGCATGGGAACACTATAAAAAAGAAAACCTTTTGCATGTCATGGCGTGCTGCACGGTTCACTGCTCCCTCTCTTTCTCAATATGGTTCATCTTCTGATTCAAGCCAAAATCGCCTCCCCCTTCCTGTCTGACGTTTAGATTAAATTCTCTGACCATTTTCTGTTACTCCACTGCAGCGGCGGTGACAGGGCTGGACCGTGTACACTAGTTGCAATGAGAAGCTTGCAAATAACGTTACGTCCCAAGCACGAACTATATCCGCTGATTTACATTACGTTACCGCGATTGTCATTGCAATGCTCTTCAAAACACCTCGACTATCTGGAGCACTAGGTCTGTTTCCAGGGGATGAAAATTTTCGGCCTTCTTCACTTTCATAGTTTTACGCGTTGGGTCTCTTCAAGCAGGTAGAAAGCGCTCAATCTCTTTAAGCCATCTGCTATCCATACGCGTCCCCATATATGGTGTCTATGAAACCCAGTTGTATTCATATTCATCGAAGACCATACACACTACAACATGTTTGACGTCCGTCAGAAACAAGTATACTGACTTTCAAACATTCATTAAGATTAGTCAGATTTTAGCATACAGCAATGCGAGGAAACTTACTGGATCATCGGTTTGTCATTGTGGAACACTTTGGCAGCCTATATCTGCAGGAACTAATCAGAAATCCAAAGCGATACCCGGTCTTTTAGTACGGTTGTTGTAACCCTCTGAACACGACCACAGAAAGTATACGCTTATCCTCCGACCATCACTAGAAGCTTTACAGAAGTACTGCCGCATGTATTAGGTAGCCGCTAGTAAGAAAGCACGTACAATTGATCATCTCTATGTT